TTGAAAACATGGCTTGCGTAGGTAGGGCTTCAAAACCGAAAAGATAAAATTTTCGGGCTTCTCGGGAGCTTCGGGACGTGTTTCGGGTGCTAAAATTGATATCGGGGCTTCGCGGAAAGTGAAAATGAAGAAAATATGGAAAAGGGGGTGAAAAGTGTCAAAAATTCAAAGTTAGTTGGCAAGTCTGGCAACCCCCTTATTTATAGGGTGCGAGACAGAAGGTGTGTGGCTAGAGAGGTTCCATGTCCAAACTGTGAGGCTCGGTCCGGAGGAGTGATGAGGCAGGCGCGAAGTCTCGGACGCGAGGAGGCGCAGAGGAGCAAGGTTCGGACACCAAGGCGAGGTGCGTCAGAATTTCGTTGGTCCGAACTTCACTCGAATCAGTATGCGACTCGCGCCGGCTTCGGATTGGGCCACATCTCGGATGACGCTGCTGCTTCGTGCGAGATGATGTGGCCGGTACTATTCATACGAGATTTCTTGGATTTTGAGCCTTGAACTTCTAAAATCCATAACTTTCGCATACAAGCTACGGTTTTAACATTATTTATATCCACGCGTAGCTAAAATTTTGCTTTACAACTTTCGATTAGACTTCGTCGGCTAATTTTGGATTTATTTTTAATATTATTATTTTTAACAGACCGAGACATGAAAATCCGTTAAAAATTCATAACTTCATCATCCGACATCCATTTTCGTCAGACTTTATACCGTTGTACTACAAATGACGAGACCTTAGATTATCGTTTAGGATGTATTGGTCAAATATCGCTCGATCTAAAATTCGAGTTTTTAGCTGTCAACTGCTAAGTGGAAACTTCGAAAAATCATAACTTCCTTATACGAAGTAAGATTTTGGCGTTCTTTTTATCGAATTTCTCGGTTTAACGAATACTACGAATGTCACACCCCGAAAACCTAAGGCGGAAACATTTACTGGGCGGACTCCACATTGAGTATCAAATCCAATGTACATAGTAAGACAGTAAACACAAAACATTACATTACATGGAATTGTTTAGATCAGTTCAAAAGTAAAGTGTTACAAACGTTATACATATGTATATATGAACAAAAGTAGAGACGAGTCTTCTGTACGCTCCGTCTTCTCCAAAAGGATCACTGGGTACCTATCACATGCTGACCTGAGTATACAAGCAGTTTGAAAATCAGCATTCACTACAAGAAAAATAGCCTTTTACGACGCGCAAACCACGACACTCATTGATTTATGTTACGTAATGGAGAGTGACGTTAAAAAAGTGTCATCTCTTCAAAAAATTTAAGATTTTAGGTCACGCATTATTGCGTGCCCTTAAATTAGCGTCATACGAGAAAAAATTAAAAACACGGAGGGCGCTGTATCTTAAACGGGCGTCCTCTATGAGTGTCGCTTTATAATTTTAATGAAAAGCGCGTTTAGTAGATAGGAGGAAAATGAAATCCCTAAAATTTTGAACACCCGCCTTCTTTTTTATCCTCCACTTTTGTTTTCTTCTTGCCCTAATTACGATCCTTTCTTCCCCCTCCATAGATTCGACTGCTGCCTTGTGCCCTCCATAGATTCGACTGCGTACAAGTCGGACTTATGTGTCGGAACTCCGGTAGACTGAAATTCAGGCAACATGTAGCCTCGTGTGCCCTAGAATTTCACGAATCTTGAATTTGGCTTACTTGAATCTCGTTCCAAGCTGCTATCGGTTTCGCCACAGAGTTCCACCGTTCCAAAATCGCATATTTTCACGTTGAGTGACTATGATTGGGTTACAATTATGCTTGAGCTGACGATTGGGTAACAATTATGCTTGAAAGTGTGAAGAACTTACATGCTCCATCTACTTCTATCCTAGAGCCGATGATTTAGGGCCTTACAGCTTCTCATCCCACACAACGCCAACGATTTAGGGTCTTACAAGCCCTAGCTCAGATTGAACTAAGGTATGCTTTACTGAGCATGATTTATCATGATTTTTTGTTCTGCTTACAAGCCCTAGGTCTGATTTCAAGAAATATCTCATTCTATTCAATGAAGCAGGTCTGATTCTTCTCTTCTGGTTGCACTAAGGTATGTCGTGCTTACCGTTATTCATCTAGTCTCTTCTTCTTGTTCTTGTTCTTGTTCTTGTTCTTGTTCTTGTTCTTGTTCTTGTTCTTGTTCTTGTTCTTGTTCTTCTTCTTCTTCTTCTTCTTCTTCTTCTTCTTCTTCTTCTTCTTCTTCTTCTTCTTCTTCTTCTTCTTCTTCTTCTTCTTTTTCTTCTTCTTATTCTTCTTCTTCTTCTTCTTCTTCTTCTTCTTCTTCTTTTCTTCTTCTTCTTCTTCTTCTTCTTCTTCTTCTTCTTCTTCTTTTCTTCTTCTTCTTCTTCTTCTTCTTCTTCTTCTTCTTCTTCTTCTTCTTCTTCTTCTTCTTCTTCTTCTTCTTCTTCTTCTTCTTCTTCTTCTTATTCTTCCCTGATATCTTAATTTTTCGTGTAACACCTACAATTTCTTCACTTTTGGAACACGTACAATTTCTTCACTTATTATTCTTCTTCTTCCCTGATATCTTAAGCCATATTAGAACCCTAATTCCAGAAGAATCCGATTGTTTTTATAATATTTCATATATCTTTTTTGATGTTTTTACTGATTTGTTTCTATAAAAACAACAAATGAAATGGGTCTAGGAAAACCCTTTGAGCTGCTTGCCTGTATATTTGCACAATAGAAAATCGGACATACATGTTGATGATATAAGAAACAAGACAATACAAGTTGCTGGAGAGCAGAAATATAACATCAAAGGAATGAAGAAAGAGCATGTGTGTGGGGCTGTAAGTGAAATCTCAAAGTATAAAGTTTTTTTGGGTACAATGTGATGTCTGTGATGCTTGCGACATGAAAATTGTGTAGGCTATCCATATAAAGAAAAAAATTCAGAACCAATAAGAGATTCAGAAAGCCTGAATGGTGATTCAAGAAAACGCAAAAGTTAAGGCTCCAAACTCGTTATCTGTGATGGGGCTCACATTTGTCCATTTTGCTTAGAACTGAGTCAAGCAACCAGTTCCCCTGTTCCTACTGGTTCAACTCTTGTAGTATGTCGAGCACCAATATTGCCACAGTGACATGCTGAAATAACTCGGTAAACCTCAACTATTACTATTTATTGATTCAGCTTTATTGTACATATGCATGCTCCTTCATGTAAATGGTTTATTTCTTTTTGCAGTCATACAAGTCCAGGTTCACAAAAATATAAAAGAATACGATTTGAGAAATGAAAGAAATAAAATGAGACATTGTTGCATACTTTCATTTGATTTAAGTGCTTTGTATTCTATACATCGTCTTCCGCTTTTCAAAAAGGGAAAAACAAAGATAGATGCATACTCGCTTACATCTCTCCCACCGAAGCGAAAGTGGAAGAATTTAGCGAGAGAAATCAAGATTTTTGGCCATCATCATCAAGTTTTCATTAGCATCCATAGGCTACAGATCTCAAATTCCCCTTCAGATCCTCATAGTTGACCTTTCCCCAGATCTCGATTTGATCAAACATACATATAATTGCAGTCACTGGTCTATGACCTGGTTATATAGTTCATTTTTGCACTAAACATCTCTGGATCTGATCGAGCTCTCTCGCGGTTTTTAAAACCGACCCAATCATGAATCCCTTTTCGTCTGGGACGCGTCTAAGGTGAGTGGCTTGTTTACAACTGATCTTATGTTTTAAAGCTTTTCCTCGTGATCAATTTTGAACTAGTTCTTTATATCGACCTAATTTGTATTAACGTTATCTCAAGTTGTCTATATTGAGAGTTAGGGCATTTGATTTGCGTACATTTAATGGAATTCATCCATGTATTTCCTGATTGGATGGGTCACTCAAATGAGTAAGACATTGTCACCAACTTATAAGATCCTAATCTGGGTATGAAGATAATCCATGAACTTTGTCATGAACCATCCCTCGCAAACCATATGTCTTTCTACTTAAGATTTTCCATCTTTTTCGTTTATCCTTCACCTGCAAAAGATTTTACTACATTTCATACCACATGGGTAATTTGATGTTAATTAGTTGGGTCTGAAACTGTAAATGAAACATTATTGGTCTACTGCAGGGACATGATTAGGGCAATACGAGCCTGCAAAACTGCTGCAGAAGAGCGTGTTGTTGTTAGAAAAGAATGTGCTTTTGTTCGTGCATCAGTTAGCGATCATGATAATGATTACAGACACAGTAACTTGGCAAAGCTCATTTTCATTCACATGTTAGGATACCCCACACATTTTGGAAAAATGGAGTGCTTGAAACTTATAGCAACTCCTGGATTCCCTGAAAAGAGAATACGATATCTGGGACTTATGTTGCTTCTTGATGAAAGACAAGAAGTTTTGATGCTTTTCACCAATTCACTAAAGCAGTATGCTCTTGTCTTTCTTCACTCTTATCTTTCCTATATCTTGTGTTCAAGCAACATGGTCGACGTGAGAATTTTTTTTTTCATCTGCAGAGATCTTAACCACACCAATCAGTACATTGTGGGATTAGCTCTTTGTGCTTTGGGTAACATATGTTCTGCAGAAATGGCTCGTGATCTTGCACCTAAAGTTGAAAGATTCCTGCAATTTCGAGATCCAAATATTCGTAAGAAAGTAAGCTGATGTTAACATTTATTTCATTTCATGATCTCTCAAGGATGTTTCATCTAATTCTCACATTTCATATGAAGAATCATACTCACATAAGTTCTTACAATTTACAGGCAGCATTGTGCTCAATAAGGATTGTAAAGAAGGTCCCTGACCTTGCAGAAAATTTTGTCAACCCTGTTGTTTCCTTACTTAAAGAAAAACATCATAGGGTTCTTTTAACAGCAATCTAGCTCTGTACAGATCTCTGTAACCTTAATGAAGAGGCTCTTGAATTTTTCAGGAAGGTAAATATACTTGATCTTGTTAATGATCCTCTATTATTTGTTGGGATTTTCTTCTTCTAGTTCTTGTTCTCTTTCTTTATCTTTCTACTGTGTTTTTGCGCTAAGAACTGTTTGACATATGATTCTATAAGTGCAAATTAGTAATTTTAGTGATGAGATATATTTTCTTTTTTCTTCCTTTGGTATAGAAATGCACAGAGTTGTTGGTGAAAGTTTTAAAGGATGCTTTCAACAGCCCATATGCTCCTGAATATGATGTTTCAGGTATTGTAGACCCTTTTCTTCATATAAGACTGCTTCGCCTTTTACGTGTTTTGGGCCATGGAGATGCTGATGCTAGTGATTCCATGAATGACATTCTTGCCCATGTTAGCTTTTATTTTAATAAACCTCATTGTGAATTGTGATATATAATTCAAAATTATAAGAATTTATGAAATTCCTTGTTTAGGGTTAGTTACTTATTTATACGACAACAATGTTTCACATTTTTTTGATTTATAATGTTTGTTGTTATACATAATATGCAATGTTGTTTCAAAATAGGACAATGGTTCATGCAACCTGCTATGACTTATGTGTATGATGTAGCATAAGTTTTTAAATTTTTTGACACATCAACTGCTTAGTTGTATTTTAACAGACAGAAATAAATGATTTATGGCATGTCAATTCCTCAACTCCACTCCATTATGCAAGATGATCACCATTGGTTCTACCATGTTATTGGATATTTGCAGAATTGGTTGTTTTATGGACGATATCCTGCTATTTTTTCATTATTATTATTATTATTATTATTATTATTATTATTATTATATTTTGTGACATGGATTTTTTGCGGGTTAAGCGATTAAGCGATATCTCACCTCATATGAGCCATAACCAATAAATATACACTTTTATCTCAAATATGAACCTTAAATATGTTCCAATTAAATGTAGGAGTTGTGTTGTACTTATGATTAACGGGTATCCAATGTAATCTCTCTTTCTTAGTTGCTTCTTGCCCTTTGATAAGTGGTATTCTTACCCTATACATTAACATTTTAAGGGAAGTCATAACTTAGAAGCTATTTATATGCATATTGTTTTATCTTTTTCAAAGTAAATAAGATTGCTAATTATGTATTTCTTTTTAACAAATTGGATTTGTGATTTGAAAATTGTAAATCTCAGATTAGGGAGGACACTTGTAATGGAACTGATGATTGTTGCTGGAAAGGTTGTTCCTATTTTAGAGCTGGAACATGGAGTAGTTGTTGTTACAGTGTATGTAGGGTCATTCATGACTTCTCTTGATATGGGAGGTTTGTTAAGTTCATTTTGTTTTCTGATGCAAAAAAGTGGCTAATATCTTTGTGTTGTGTTGTGGTGTAGCGTTTTCAATATCTATAATTAAGGCAGAGCAAGCAATTCTGCAATGCCTGGTTGTTGCAGCTAAGGCTCCGCATTGGCCTATTGGTGTTGATGGTTAGTAATTCCACATGGCCTCGTTAAGGTAACAACATATCTTTTGTTCAAACTTCAAAACCTTACTTGAATTTATATTCCATTCATCATCTAGAGACTAGTTTCAATTAGAAACCATGTCAACTTAGTCAAGTTAGTTGGCTTAATTGCCCTATGTAGAAGGAATTCATATGAACAAAAAATTTCATGAAAATGCTTTGTCTTCACCTTCAGTTCAGTCACCGGTATGTCAAATGACAAATCTACCCCCATAGGATGCCTCCCTATGTTCCCATATGCATAGAAAACCATAATATATTTAACAGGGAGCTTCAGTACATGAAAAAAGGGAGGATACATTATCCCTCTCAACCCTACAAATAGTAACATTATTTCTACCAATAATGCCCTTGGTGTTGGTCAAGATCATAAATAATAGCATTCTGGACGTGTATGTCATCATATTACATCCTCCAAATACTACCTTAACATATATTAGTTTTTTTGCAACACTCAATCTGATTTGGAAGCTAATTTGTTTAAGGTATATATATCTATCCCTGTTATCTCCATTATAGCCATGTCTGAGTTTTTACAGTATACCCTCCACATCCTTATCATTATAAATACTATGTTTTGTTTTGAAAATGAACTTGCCTCTACAATGGATGTTGCTCTTGGGATTTTGATTATTGAGTAAAGACTTGGAGTTGAATTTTATTTAAATCTTGCAGCATTATCAGCAAGATGCAGTAAAGACTTGGAGTTGAATTTTGCTAAGTCATTATTGAGTGAGATGGGCCAATGTACAACTGCTTATCCATATAATCAGCTGTTTGGAGCATTAGTCTTAAAGAATTATGAAAGGCAAGATGCAACTTTAGTTAGTTGAAATTCGATGTACATAGTAGATTAGATGCAAATTTATATATTGTAAGAAATAGAACTGTATGACATTAAATTTATGCAATGGATTCTATATTTTGTATATGATATTTTATTAATTTTCTATTATGAAACATTAAATACAAATTTAATTTGAAAATAAGTAAATCTATAAATAATATTCTTTTTAACATTTAAAAGTATGATACGCAAAAATGTGTGTCATCTTCATTTATGACATGGCCTTTCTTGACAGGGGCTTTCTTGATACGCATTGCGTGTCATCAACACGCGCGTTGTAAGGTAACGACACGCGAATGTGTGTTGTCTTCCTTTATGACAGGGCCTTCCTTGATACGCATTGTGTGTCGTAAACGCGCGTCATAACTGCGTGTCGTAAATGTGCATCGTAAATGCGCGTCGTCTCTCTTTATGACAGGGCCTTCCTTGACGCGCATTTGCGCGTCGTCTGAGCCTTTTACAACGCGCAATGAGCGTCGTAAAAGGCTATTTTTCTAGTAGTGATTAAGCTGGTGAGTTCATAAGCAGTTTTGTTATGTAAAAGGCTATTTTTCTAGTAGTGATTAAGCTGGTGAGTTCAATGAGCGTCGTAAAAGGCTATTTATACAAGAAAATCCCATATTTTCTTATGTAAAAACAGTTTAGTTATCATTTCGTTACTTATTTCGTTTACGAGTTGTTACGTTATTCCAGGAAAATCCCATATTTTCCTAAGTGTTTAGCTGTCCTTTTGATACTTAATTCGTAGTTTAGATTTCGATGTACTAGTAACTACCTTACTTATAGTATTAGTTAAGTATTCAAATATCTTAGTTATGATGGGTTTTGAGCAGTCTAATACTTCCTAAGTGTACATGCAACTCTAATAACCTTGGATCTATGTTTGTCTAATTATCATGCAAAGTTGAATTCCAAGGTTATATTCCTAGCTAGCATACATGGGGAACAATTTTAACTTGAATGAAAGATATAATAACTTACCTTGTTGTAGCTTATGTTCCCTGAAACCTTGTGAGCCTAGCACCCCAAGTGTGATGCCTCAAATGCTTCACACAACACCAAATGCTCTTGGAAAGAATTTTGATAGAATGCATACTTCTTGAAATCGGCCTAGCCCTCTTGTTTCATATGTGTAACCGATTTTGGTGGAGAATAGGATTCTTATATAGTGTTGACACATCTAGGGTTACACCATGTAAACCCTAATGTGTCATGACTCTTCATTTCCATGACCCATGGGTTTGTAACTCCCATGGAGCATCCTATCGGTGGAACCCAACTTGATAATCCATGGAGCCTCTTAGCCACTATACAAGATATGGATGATTTACACAATCAACCCATATATTTAATTAGTTATCTTTTGATCACTTAATTAATTCTAAATCAATTCTTGATCAAACTAATCAAATAATATTATTAATATATTAGAACTTATAATATATTAATAATCTCCAAATGTTATTTCTCTCATTTAGTCTATCCAATTTCATGGTGCCATGCAACCCAAATGGACCATGCCGGGTCGGGTCAAGTACATACCAGAAATAGTTATGGACTTAGACACCTTATCCAACAGTCTCCCACTTGGATAAGTCTAATAACTATTACTAAAAGTATGATTTCAGGAACCGATCGGCAATCGTAGCTCTTTTCAAGGTTTCTCGGAACTAAGAAGATGATGGTACGCCATTTAAGATAAGTGATCATATAATCCTCTATTCTAGATATCAGTAGGACAAATACATGGAACAATGTCTTACTTATTGTCCAACAGTTTGTTTCTCGATTTCGAATTTGTTTGGCAAAGAACTTAATTGAACACATCAACTTAGTTCTGACCGGGCCCGGTACATAGGTCAAAACAAAATCATCGAGGGGTCCGAATATCAGCTTCTAATCCAAGAAGGAACAGATAAACTTCGACTCATATGTTTGTTCTACCACTCATTGAATTATACACAAAAGCACGTTTTATAACATTGAGTTACCAATACGTTTTCGTACAATCAATGCATAACCAACTTGTAAGTAACAAATCGTATCTCTAGGTTTGAAGACTTATATGATATTACCGTCTCACGATCACTCGAGATAGAATTCCATGAACTGATTCCAGTGAGCGTGGGTTGAGTCCAACGCTCAGAACTTATGAGCACTCATGATTGTTGTAGCCTTGTCCAACACCTTAGACCTCTACAACCAATCATGACAGTCTTGGTTCATACCTGCTTCCGACATATGACCGACTGTGGAGGTTTGAATAATATGTTATACCAAACAAAATTATTCTGGAAGTCAAAACATGCAAAAGAAATATAGTAAACGATTGACAAGAGATAGCAACACTTTACTCATAAATAAAACACCTTTTATTCATCATCTAATGTCAATTGCACTTTACAAATTTTGAGGTTATCTAACTACTAATTCTAATATCATCCTTCAGCCCTATGCTCCAAGCATGTTGGAGATGCTTAACCCGAGTCAGTCCCTTCGTGAGGGGATCTGCTGGGTTCTCATCCGATGATACCCTCTTTGCCACGAGGAGTCCTTCTTCTATTCGATGTCTAATAAAATGGTTTTTTTTGTCGATGTGTCTGGATCTCCCGTGATCCCTTGGTTCCTTGGCTAACGCAACAACGCTTTCACTATCACAGAAAATTTCCATTGGCTCTTTAATAGCTGGTACAAATCCAAGGTCTCCGATGAAGTTCTTTAGCTATATAGCCTTCTTTTCCGCCTCGCTCACGGCAATATACTCCGATTCGCAAGTTGAATCAGCCACTGTCTCTTGCTTGGAACTCTTCCTAGAAATTGCTCCTCCGTTTAGGGTAAAGGCCCAGCCTGAC